CCATTCTACTCTTGGATATTTAGGTTGTTTCCAATTTGGGGCTATTACAAATAAAACTGCTATGAACATCGTTGTACTTGCATCCACCAAAGCACTCTTCTGTCTTTTGATGGATGTAAACACTCATTTCTATTGGATATATACCCAAGAGTGAGATTACTGAGTCAGAGGTATGTGTATCTTTAACGTTCCTAGATTGCCAAATATTTCTCCAAAGTGGCTATACCCACTTACATTCCCAACGGCAACCAAAGACAATTCTAGTTGAAACATGCATTACTTTTATTTATTTTCTTTCTTTCTTTTTTTTTTTTTTTTTTTTTTGAGACGGAGTCTTGTTCTGTTGCCCACGTTGGAATGCAGTGGTGTGATCTCGGCTCACTATAGCCTCCGACTCCCAGGTTCAAGCAATTATCCTGCCTCAACCTCTGGAGTAGCTGGGATTACAGGCGCATGCCACCACGCCTGCCTAATTTTTTTGTATTTTTAGTAGAGACAGGGTTTCACCATGTTGGCCAAGCTGGTCTCAAACTCCTGATCACAAGTGACCTGCCCGCCTTGGCCTCCCAAAGTGCTGGGATTATAGGCACGAGCCACTGTACCCGGCCTGCATTACTTTTATAATCAGAAAAAAATAAATGCTATTTTGAGAAATAAGAGAAACAGCAAGAGAAATCCTTTTTCTAGACAAACTCTGTAATTAGCAGCAAATTTAAACATGTAGAAAATATATTATTCTACACTTCACTGGTTTGTAGAGGCTTCAGGAGGAGGTTTGGCTTGGCGACTAAGAGCTCTGGCATTGGAGTCAGATAACAAAAGGACAAACTTCAACCCTGCAAATTGCCAGCTGTGTGATCTTCAACAAACTACTAACCCTCTGTGCTCTTTCGTTTCTTTGTCTGTACATTATAATAATAACATTACCTCACAGGATCACTATAAGGAATGACAAAATAAAGCTTGTAAGATCCATAGAATGTGCCTGAAATATAGTAAGAGTTCAATAAATATTAGCTACTATTGGGATTATTAGTATTTATACTAATATTAGGTGGTGACTATTAGCATTCTTAGTCTAGATGTGTGGCAAGCCTCTATTATTAAAAAGCATTTGGTAATTAATTCTCCATTCCAATTCTCTCCCCATTTCCACACTGATCAATTCTTATGAAGTTCCTTGGTAATTTATATAATCATAGAAATTTTTCTCTCAAATGGTTGGATGCCTTGAATGGCTTTTAGACTCAATTTAAGAAACAGTTTGCGAATGTTGCTGGGAGAAAATGCATTTAATTTGCCAAAACCAAATTAACTCCTAATACACAAGGGAATACATGTAAGCAGTAAACAGTTGATAAAAATAAAAACACTTTTTCTCTCCTTGTTCCATGTGGACTTAACTTTAATTATTAAATTTACATTCACATGTCCAAACAAAGCACACACAATTAGCACAATTTTCAAAATCATACTGTCTTTAAATCCCATAAATTACTTATTCAACCATGGAATGATACAAAGTCTTTCCAACTAATTTAACCCAACAAGTTGGTTTTATTTTTGTGCCCATCGTGGGGACTTTGGATGGCTTTTTAAAAAATCCATATCAAGTCTCATTAGGAACACTGGTCATATTTTGAACAAAATGCTAATATTGCAAAACATTTTTAAATTTAATCTCTTCTATATGCCAGTCACAGCAGATCTTTCATTTTCAATACAGTGTTATTCTCTATTGAGTCCTAAGGCAAAATCTTATCATTGAACAGATAGGTGTGAGTGGCTACATTTCAAATGCAATCAATTAATTGACACATTACAACTGAAATGGCTCCACTTGCTTCCTCCCAACTGTCCAGCAGAATTTCTCTTGTCGATACCTTTATGTTGGAAACTTATAAGATAAAGGTATCTGTTAGATCAGACTTGGCAATTTATGGCCTCAACAAGGGGCCTTTCTTATGTCCTGGTACTAGGGCTTGGCTTTCTGCAGAGAAAGGAGATTCCCCAGTTTTTCTTGCTCTGTGCTTACACAGTCATGGTCCCTTCTTTGCAGGTGACGCCTCCTGTTGTGCAGACAGCAGGTCCCTTTTCCCCTATGGAGTGTCTCATAACTGGGGCTCTGTTAACAAATGTGGGGCAGGGTAGTCATGGCAAGATGCCACTCCTTTCCCTCTACCTACTAAAATGCATTCCACTGAGATCCAGGAGGAAAAACTGAGATGACCATCAGGGAGTCACAGGCCATATGTGTACTGACAACAAATCTTTGGAGATGTTCGCTTTAGTTGTGGTTGTTATTTGGATGTCATGGGTGGAGGGCTGCATTCCAGACACAAGATCTGGGACTAGAGGACCCTACCCCAGCTGCTTCTTTCTCAAAGAAGCCCTGCCTTCCTTTGTTCTTTTATAGTAATGGACTTTAATGATCTTCAAGATGGTTCTCATTTCAGCTGATCGTTAGGAAACATGTCGGGGGAGGAGGCACTCTTTTCAAATCACCTTTCTTTAGACAGGTTTCTGATCCTATTCAAGGCCACATCCCGGCCATCTGGTTTCTGTAGCTCAAAGAATTACTGCTCCTGATAAATTGCTCTGAGTTCTGAAGCTACTGCTGTCATATTGCATTCTCCGATCATTTACCAGGTCTCCCAAGACACACACACACACACACACACTCACACACACACACTCCTCAAGCCGTTAGACTCCATTTCCATGTGGTATCCAAATAAGTTTTACAGCAAGACATACTGGAGAGACTGAAGCTAGCACAGCACATGAAGCATACAGGAAACGCTCAAAAAAGTTGTATTGAATGGAAAGCCTTGGAGCCAGGGACAGAGGGTCAGAGGTGGAGATTACACCTCTACACCTGACAGGTTCTCCCAGAGCACTTGCCAGTTGCAGTCAGGCCTGAGGGGTGGAACCCAGGCAGAGACACATTTTAAACTGCTAAACAGCTGATTCCTTGGAAGAGGGGAGTGAAACGTGAGCTCCCCATCTCTGGACAAGTATAAGCCAAAGTTGTACAACTACCTGATGGGGACACTGTGAAAAAGAATTCAACCTCAAATTGGTAGTTGAATTGGAACAACTTAGAACAGAGAGGAATGAGGGAGAGGAAATGAAAGGAAGACATTTTATTTTAATGTAATTAAATAAGTTAAATTAATTACATTTAAAAAGAGGTAGGAAGGAAGGCCAGAGGCTGGGGACCGTTCTGTGCATGTGCCCAACCTTTGGAAAGAAACTAGAGTGTTCCTGAGAGGGCTGGGATCTCAATGGGCAGTTGGCAGAGTGTCCCAGCACCCTGGTCCTTGGCCTCCAACACTATTCATTCCTGCCTGTGGATGGAGCCTTTGGGCCTGGCCACGCCCAGAAGCCACAAGGTCTAGCTGAGTAGTGTTTGCTAATACATTAGGATGCGTGGCCCTGGACAAAGAGGGGCAGAGCTTTCAGCTCCTCTCCACCTGCCCTAGTGACACTCAGGATCCTAGAGGGTCTCGTGGAGGGTCCCCAATTCCTAGGGCAGGCAGGGAAAGGAAGGGGCCTGTCTTCCCACTAGAGACCCATGACCAGATGATTGAGTTGCATCAAAACTGCTGAGCACTCACTGGCCCAGACAGGTCTGTTCCCAGAAGCAATCATGTCATTGGATTCCTAACTAGACCCTAGGAATTGGGCCAGTCCTTGCCCCCTGCTCAGAGGTAGGATTTGCAGGTAGAAAAAAGCAGGCGTCTTCCTAAAAGATAATATTCCTGAGTTGTGTCCCAGGCAGTAGGGTGGACTGCAGTGTTGGGCTGTGACCAGGGGCAGGGCTCAGGCTGTGGCCCTCAGAAGGGAATTTTTCTTGAAAACAGCTTTGCTGGTCTGGGAAGGGAACCTGGGCTCAGGCCCCAAGAAGTGTCACAGCCACCACCTATGCCAGAGGACAGACCTGAGGCTGGGGTAGGATGCCCAGCATTGGAACTTGGGCCTGTTCCCAGCCTGGACTGGTCCAATTAGGAAGACTCACAGAGACAGCAAAAGAGGGCAAGAAATTGGAAGCAGGAAGAAGGGAGGGGGGAGGTAGAATCTTCTTCTGCTTCCCATTTCTGTTGCTTTCCTCTTCCACCTCTCTTCCCTGCCTCTTCCAATCTTAGGGGGATTCAGCTGAAACACACCGCAGCCCAACCCCTGTGTTTTAGGCTGGGCAGGACCACAGCCTCTCTTCTTGATCCCCCTCTCTCCTGTTCCTCACCCAAGAAACCCCCTTTCTAGGACTGTGAAATCAGTGTGTTTTCAACCCTGATTCCATAGGTGCACCCCCTTAGCACACCCTGACGGTTGTCCATGCATCATTCACTGAGTGCTCCCCACCCACCCACACAACACACACTTGGCTCCCAGGCCAAACGTGCCCGCTTGCTCTGGGCAATTAGCCTGGCCAGGTTCTCCCCTTTTCCTGCTTTACATCGTTTGCCCGCTCTGTACTTTGTGTTATTTGTGACTTCTCTTGTGCAAGCCACAGCAGTCTTGTCCCTATGAATCCCATTCTCTTCCCATCGGCTTCTCAGGGAACTCAAAGGCTGATGTGGAGACACAGAAACTGGGCAGTGTGACACCACACACAGCCACACCCCACTACACCGAGAGTCTCAAGTGAAAGAGGGTGCCGCACACTCTTGAGTGCAAACGTACGTGGACGCACACTCAGACTACCTGTGTTTAGGGTCTACAGACACCCGCCCTCCTTTCTGGCAACCTCCCCCCTACTCACTTCCAGCCTGCCCTCGTTTTTTGTCACCCCACCCTGGAGTTTGAGACACCAAGAGAAGGGTTGGGTGCAAACACCTGGCAAAAAATCACGGAATGGTCACACAAACACGAAATCACTCAAGATACCAACGGGAGGCTGGGGGGAGGGTGCGGGGGGCTCCCTCCTTCCGCGGTTTCCTCCTTCATCGCCCAGGCCTCCTCCCTCTGTCCCCTGACAAAAAATCACCGAGCCCAGCTCAAATCGATTGTTTTATTGACTGTTTGCATACAGACGCGTTTAGAAAAGGGCACGGGCTCCGGGTGCTACTCCGTCCCAGGCCCGCGCTTGCGCTGCGCTTCGCGAAGACCGCAGATCCCGAGGACTGAAACTCCCCCAACCCCAACCCCGACGCTTTCTTTCAAAATGGAAAAAAGAACCCCGCCCCCAGTCGCCGCGCCGCGCCCCTCCCTTTCCCTCCCTCCCCGCCCATCTGCACCCCCGCCCGCCCCCCTACACTACACGGTCACACTTTACAGGACACAGACTTTTCTCCTACAGGGCACGCTTGTCAGGGACTACACGCCGGGCAAACAACGATTCCCGCCGAAGCAGGGGCGGGTGGGGCGGGGCGACGCGAGGACCGAGACGAGAGGACAGAGGGGCTCGGCTCCATCCGGATCCCACCGCACAGTCGCACAGTCACGCGCAGGCTTTGTGCGAACTAGGGCGCGAGCCCTCCCGAGAGCCGTGGCCTGGGAGGCCACAGTCAGCTTCCTCCGCCTCTGGCGCTTTCCAGCTGGGTCTGGGTCGGGTGGATCCGCAGGAGCGGCGCTGTTGGGCGCACAGACCTGCGGAAAGCCCAACACACGGATAACGAAATTGGCCCGGGACCAAGTCCACGCGCTCAGCCGCCAAGAGGCGCGCGGTCCTGCGGCGCTTTAAGTTAGGAGAGAGACAACAGAAAACGCATTCCCTCCCTACCCCCCGACACACACACCCGATTTTCTCAGAGGCTGGGAAGGGGATGTTAGCACCAGACCCGAAATGTCGCTGTCTTGAAAACAACGAAAACAGGAAAATCTGAGCGCGGAGCTGAAAGGCGCCCCAGGCACCGGGCTGGACTCCAACAGGCCAGAAGTGGGGTGGGGGTGGGAGGACAGAAGGATTTGGTTCCCTGCCGGGAGGTGGCTTTGGAACTAAAAATTAGGGGTTGCCACGGATCCCGGCTTCTGGGAGTAGGGATTGAAAGGGAGGAGGGGCCGGGCGCAGTGGCTCAGGCCTGTAATCCCAGCACGCTGAGAGGCCGAGGCGGATGGATCACCTGAGGTCAAGAGATGCAGACCATCCTGGCCAACATGGTGAAACCCCATCGCTACTAAAAATAGAAAAAATTATCTGGGCGTGGTGGCGCGCGCCTGTAGTCCCAGCTACTCGGCAGGCTGAGACAGGAGAATCGCTTGAACCTGGGAGGCGGAGGTTGCAGTGAGCCGAGATCGCGCCACTGCACTCCAGCCTGGGGACAGACCGAGACTCCGTCAAATTAAAAAAAAAAAAAAAAAAAAGGAAAAACAAAGAAAGGAAGGGGGAGGGGGAGGGGTCGAAGTGCGACCCCACAGCCCTCCACTGGCCCGGGCTGGCCCCGAAACTACGGCGTTACCGTGAGGTTTCCAACGTCTTCGCTCGTTTTGGCTCCAGAGCCCATGGTGGGGCGGGCTGCGGGGCGGATTTCGCAGATAATCGCGATGGGAATGGAGGAACATACATATCGCCCATCGTCTGCGGGTGGAGTCTTGCATGGGGTAAGAGAAACACTGTGCTTGGCGGGTAAGGGGATTCAGCCCGCAGGGAGAATGGCAGCCGTGGGTAGCGGGGACTGGTGAAATCGGCCCACTCCCTACTGGAAGTCCCTAGTAGTCAAGGTTGCGAAGTGGTAAGGGGGAGGAGTAGGTGAAAGTTGGGGACGGGGGACAGAAGTCCTGCCAGCCCTAGACTACTGCTCCCAGGCACCCTAGGTGGAGGTCGGGAATGGGCGGGCCGGACGGGCCGAGGTTCAGCCTGCCGTCTGCCTGTAGTTGCCATTAATCTCCTGGGCGATGTTGACCGCCTCGGCGCCCAGGGGCAGTCGATCGCTGTACTCAGAGCCCGCCTCGAACTCCTCTTGGTTGGCCTTGGACTGGGACTCCACCAGTGAGCAGGCCGCCAGGCTCTCTTCTCTCTGCAGGTCCCCACTTGGGTCTCCCGGCTCCGCGTCTTCATCAAGGCCCTCCCCCTGTGCGTCCTCTGGTTCCTCGCCGCCCGCCTCGCCGCCTGCCGGGTAGCTTTTCTCGGACTCGAGGTAGGAAGCACGCGGGTCGAAGTCCGCGGCGATGCGCTTCTCCATAGGGTCAGGGGCCTGAGGCCGCAGGATCAGACGGTAGGGCTTGCCCGGGTGTTTAGCCAGCAGATGGCAGCAGGCGGCGCCCAGAAGGGGCACTGTGGCCAGCACCAGGAGGAATACGCTCACTGCCACGATGACCAGCAGCGATGGGAGCTCCTTCTTGGTGGAAAACACCACTTGCACGTGGCAGGCTTCGCCCGCCAGCGCCAGGCAGACGGAGTAGTTGGTACCCGGCCGCAGGCCTCGGAACCAGTAGGCATTGACGCCTTCCTCTACGCGGGACCACTGCACTGCCGCCCCGCCCCCCGCTGGACACAGATAGAGTAGGCGCAGGGGTCGCCGCCCGCGTCGCCGGTCTCCGCCAGCCCCGCCGGGCCCAGGGCCCCAGCGCGCAGCCAGCGGCGTCAGCTGCACCCGCGCCTCGCGCTCCGCCACATCCAGCGCGATGACGCCCAGCTCGAAGACGTGCGGCTTGAGCTCTGCGCTCTGGTTGAACGCGTGGTTAGAAACGTACCGAGAGGGATCCCCGTTGCCACAGCGCTGCTCCTCCGCTGGGTCCGCGAGGATCTGGTCTTCGGCCTCCTCTCCCTCACCTATGTCCTCCTCCGGCTCCGTCTCAGTCTCCCCGAGAATGCTGACCTTGGCCAGGCCTTGGCCTTTGATTTTGCCCTCGGGTTTGGAAGGCAGGACGCTGTTGCCCCGGCCCTTGCCTGTGGACTTGCGCTCAGAGGTCGGGGCCTGCCCGTCGGGTTCTCCCCCGGCGCCAGGCGCGTGTTTTGGGGGCCCGGTTGCTGCCACCGCCACACGTACTGACGTAGAGTTGGTGCCCAGCTCATTATGTGCACGGCAAGTGTAGACGCCCGCCTCCTTGGCACTCAGTAGGGGGACCAACAGGGAGCCGTTTGCGAGGGCCAGGAAGCGCGGTGTGGCTGGGGGCGCGGGCCAAGCGGGTGCGGGAATCGGCGTTGGGGCTTGGGTCTGCGTCAGCAAGTCCCCATCTCCTTCTTCTCCCTCTCCTTCCTCCGTCCCAACCCCATCGTCCTCCCCGCTCAGAACTGGTGGCTCTAAGACTACGGTGCCACCGGGGATCTGAAGTTGCCATTGCAGGCGGGGTGTGGGGTGGCCGTCGGCGATGCAGTGTAACATGAACGCCAGTCCCGCGCGCAGTGGGGTGCTCGGTGCCTCAAGCGGTGGCTCGGCACTCAGATGCACGCTGGGCGGTGCACAGGGCAGGGTGGGCAGGCGGTACACCGGCACCCCCTGCAGCGCGGGAGGCGACGCACAAGCAATGGAGTCGGGCTCGGGTAAGGACACCCGGGTGCTCGCGGCCCAGGCCTGCAGCCACACAAGGCCACAGCCGCAGTGGAAGGGATTGTGATAGAGTTGCAGGTGTGACAGCGCGCTGAGCGCGTCGAAGGTGCCGGGGGCCAGGGTACGCAGCCGGTTGTTGTTGATGCGCAGGGAACGCAGGTCGGGTAGCGCACCCAGTGCGTCCCGGGGCAGAGAGCCCAGGCGGTTATGGTTCATTTTGAGCAGCTGCAGCGCGCTCAGGTTGCGCAGGTCGCTCCACGGAAAGCTGGATATGAAGTTGTGGCTGAGGTCGAGGTTCTTGAGCTGACTCAGCACTGCCAGTGCGCCTGGCTCCACGGTGCGCACCTCATTGTGCGCCAGCCACAGCGACGTGACCTGTGTGACGTCGGCGAAGGCCCCTCGCCGCAGCACGGTGATCTTGTTCGCGGACAGACTAAGCGTGGTCACATTGGCAGGCAGTCCTTCTGGCACCTCGCGCAACTCTTTGTAAGCGCAGTCGGCGAACTGGTGAGCGTACTTGTCCACGCAGGCGCACGGCTCAGGGCATGCTCCAGCCCCTCCTAGAAGCGCCCAGACCAACCACAGGGCCCGAAGGGGGAACATCACGGCTCCTGCAGATGGAAGCCAGGGGAAGAGGAAAGAAGGTGACTCACTGAACCCTAGCTTACCTCCCCTAATCAAGCTCTGCCTCCGCAAACCCGTCTAGCACAAGTTCCAGGACTCAGGTAACCTCCTCTATGGCCAGGAGCCTCTCTTGGCCAGAAGTGAAGGTCAATAAAAATCTCGAGGTTCAACGGATACTCCTTCCCAGGGCCCTAATTTCCTTTTCCAGCGGCCCGGTACATCGCTGTTTTTTCCCTTCCTACTCCTTCCTTCACGCTGGAGCTGGCCCCTCCGTAGGCTCCGCAGCTCGCCTATCTCCAGCGGGCTCCTCACGGACCCCTCTCTGTGTTTCTAAGCCTTAGTTTAACCCGGTGAAATGCATCCTACCCAGGAAGGACATTTTTGTCCGAGACTGGCTGTCCTCCCTGGAACCTTTGTCCCACATACAGCACTCGCACACACGCCCATTCAGGCGCACAACAATACAAACAGACGCGGGGGTTCATCATCAAACCGCCAACTTCTGCGGGCGTTTAGAGGACCTGATGCTCAATTAGGAGGCTCACAACACATTTCCTAAACTCACAAACACATATGCACCCAGACACGGATACAATAGACCCTGGAGACCTCATTGTTCTCTTAACTGAACCGGCATTTGTACAGCGTTTTCCACCACGGTACAAAGCGCTTTCCTGTCCATTGTGAGAATTAACAGACACAAGTCCTCACACGAACCGACCCATCCACAGGAACACAGGCATGCGCCCGTGTGTGCACACAGCCCTCCACTGTGATAAAAACCCAGCAGAGAAGCAATAGGAGGACCTGCACTGCACGACTTGAGATGTGGGATCTGGGGAAGCCCATCCCCATGCCCTTCTGCATCTAAGGCCGAAGTCACCTGCCCGGGGCTGCAGCTCCTGTGAGGGGAGAAGAAGGTTGCTCTGCCAACCTTCCTTATGGGGAAGGAGGTCCTTCCCCCATGTTTGGACCAGGTGTGTTGGGAAAGTGGTCACTAGAGCTTCCTCTCAGGTCCCCCAGGCGGCTCCCATTGGGCAGAGGCGTCCTCAGCCAACAGGTCATGGGGCTGCCACTACCTAATGAAGCTGGAGAAGGTGAAAGATTCTGCGCCTTCCTCCACAGCTCTGCGGTGCCTAAGGTCCCCCTCCCCATAAAACCTTAAGCCCGGTCACACAAACGAACTTGCACAGACTCCCTGCCCCCTCTGGAGCGCCTGTCAGGTTTGGCAGAGCCCCTCCCACACCCTGTCTTTGGGAACCTGCTCCTTCACTCTGCCTGTGCTCTTCTGGGAGGGTCCCTTCCCTCCCTTCTCAGTTCCTCCCAGACAGCACCTCCCCCCCAGCCCTGCACCCCATGGGGTGCTCTAGGCTGGACCTACCCTCACCTGGGTCAAGGTTGTGGGGTGGCCCCCATTACTTACCCAATATTCGCCGACTCTCAGTAAATGTCCTAGGGCTGAAACCCCTTCTCCAGACCCGGTGTGGCAGAGCAGGAAACATAGCCCAAGGAAGATACTCGCATGTGTTGTGGCTGGGGGCCGGGGGCAAAGACAGAGACAGGTAAGTTTGGGGACTCGGTGGCCCCAAAGTACCACTTCAGTTTTTCCTTTTACGTCCGTTTCCCCCACCTCTCTGGCTGCAGGTTGGAGAAAGTCCTTGCGCGCTCCAGGGCCTGGCGGGGACGCGCATAGCCTCTCCTGCCTCCTGCTTGGTCTACTTTTGTTAAAGCCACGGAGACCCTCCCCAAGGCCAAGTCGGTCATAAGGGGCATCCCATGCCCACCGTCCCGGCTGGGCTCTTCGCAGCCTACTACACCCCCCATAACCCAGGTACCCCCACATTTACACAGCCGCTGACGTTGTCACTGTCCCTCATCACACCACCTCCCCCCTCAACGTTCAAACACATTCGCGCGCACACAGCCCCTCACACCCTCCCCATAGTCGACCTTCACACGTTACAATCATCCATGGTCAGGTAATAATCGCATCAATGTGTTCAGTCCCTGCTACATTCACACGCATTTTCACGGGCACACCTGCACACGGGACACTTACCGTTCTCCTCTCGCACACGCATACACACATTCACGCGAACTCACCCTCACGCGCCTGTCCCGCCAGCACCCGCAAGCTTCACTGCTAATTGAATGCAAGCCGCTTTTACGCCCTGCAACACGTGAGACAAACCATCTTTGAGGAATTTGGGGGAAGGAAAGCTGCGCGGCTGAAGTCGGGTGGGGGAAGGAGTGTCTTTGCCTTTAAACTCTTTTTGCAAATGCAGGCGGTGGCACCGACAGACCTCGAGCCGGACCCGCGGAGCTGCGCGCAGCAGAGCTCGCGCGGACCCTTCCCTCTCGCACCCCCCGCTGCTAGCCGCCTCCTCCCCGAAGCCACGTTCAACACGATGCATAATTGATAGTGTTAGCAGAGCGCCGCGCCCTCCCTACCATTTTTGCCTGGATCTGGGCTGATATAAGCCCTAGTCTCCCCCCGCCGCCGCCGCCGCCGCCCCAACCCCCCTCCTCCCCGCCTGCTTGTCTAACCCGAGACCAGAACGCACAGCCCTGCAGGGCGTGCTGGGAAGGGACGCCCCCCTCCCCAGCCCACCGTAGCCCTGCCCAACCTCTTAAACCGGAACTCTTTACATCTGGTCTTTTGTGGCTAAACCAGCGCTTGAAGCCCACTGCCCGGCTCGTTGGCCTAAGCGCACCGCGGGACAGGTGGAGCAGGGGGAAGCTCTCCCGAGCTCACCCAAGCACCTCACTCCAGGTCTTGCCTGCTCCAGGAGAACGAGGCACGGAAGCTGCAGCAGACAGTAGCACAGACAAGGATGGTGTCAAAACGTCCGCTACTCTTGAGCACGGTGGGCTGGGGACTTCAGGCCTAAGCATTTCTCCCATCCCTGCCCCCCATATCTTCCCAGCCTCTCAAGCAGACACTCGGTCAACCCCACACGCGCTATCCCCCAAGCTGCGGTGGCCCCCCACCGCCCCGCCGTCTCACACCCTCACACAACAGCCGGCTTCAGCAGACTCGCTGTTCCCGACTCTCGCTCCTTAGCTCTGATGAAACCCCGACATTTCTTTCAGCGACGAGGAGGCGGAGGCGCGGCGATGTCGAGGCATTTGGCTAAAACCCGGATTCCGCCCCCCGTGCGCTGCCCACGTTAGCCCTGGAGACAGCTACTGGCCAGAACCAGGAAAGGGGTTCAGGCTCCAGGAGACACGCAGAATCCCCACCCGTTCTGTAGCCACTGAGTTCTCCGGGCGCACCAAGTCCCACAGCCATCACCCCGGGCCATGGGGGGTCTCTCGTGGTGGGTCGATGGCGCGGGTTTGGGGCTTCCGTGGAGATCAATACCCCGATTTGAGTGTTGAGCATCTTAATGAGCTAGGGGAAGGGGTGGGGAAGAGAGACAGGGTAAGAGCGCAGCATCTAAAGAGACCACCCGGCCCGGGGTTCCGAGGCTGCTTTGTAAATTAAATATGAACAGACTGGTGCGCTCACGCTCCAAGCGTCCCTCCCTCTCTCCTACTGCTGCCGTCGCTACAGGCGGCCCAGCGGGCTGGGACCATCGCATCTCGCTTAGCCCCAGTTCAGAACACAGAAATTCACACAGCCTGCTCTGGCCTGGGATCCCCCCAGCCCACCCATGGGGAGGGCGCAAGGCGCCTTTCAGGGAAGGTGTCTTCGAGAAAGGTCGAGGGGTGAGAGCACTGTGACCCGTCCCTGCCGGGGACCCTGTGGTGGGGCAGCCAGGATTGGGTCCCTAGCCTGGGAGTGAGTCCCTGAGGTTTCTAGGCCTTGAGGGGTCGGGGGAGGGACGCAGACAGCGGGACCAGCACACCCTTCTTTGTCTGCCGAACAAGGTGGGGGTGGGGGCGGGGAGCTGCGTCCTGGGCAGTTGTCCGGTCTTGGGATCCCTGAGGGGGCGGTCTTGGGAGCCTATGCCAGGGAAGGATCTTAGGAGGCAGGGGCCCAGCAGCTGGAGCTGAGTCCGGTCCCGGATGGGGTGTCCAGGGGACTTTTCGCGACTGAGTGAGGGGCGTCAGGCGGGGAGACTCAAGGCCTTTGGGCCCTCCTCCGGTTTTTACCTGTTTTCTTTCTTTCTTTTTTGCCTTCCGCAGGGAGGCAGAATCTGGGTAGTGGAAGGGAGAATGGGCTTGCTATTTGCCCGGAGCTTCCCCGGACTGCAGGAACCCGTCCTATAAGCAACCCGGAAACCTCGGGGCCCGAGGACCAGGGAAGACCCCCTTTCCTTGCTGTCTTGACAGGGTTGCAGAAGCCAAGGAGTTCGGCAGGGAGACCTTGGGTGGTTAAAGACGCAGTGACTACCTCTGCGCTGGAGCTGACTCCCGCGGTCCCCGGAGGCTCTAGCTCACTCTACAGCAAATGCTTTTGTCCCCTAGGCTGCCCTGGGGGAAAGACGCCCCTTACCCCTGCCTTTGAGCCTGGAGAGCCCAGTGCCCGCCCGGGCAGGGCTGGAGCCCGAGTCGCCCCAGGCAGAGTCCGCCGAGGCCTGGGGTGGGAGCCGCGACTTCTGGATCTGCCTCCGAGCTCAGCTAGAAGACTGCGCGCACCTCGTCCGGCGCCGCCCGGTGCTCAGAAGCCGGTCTAATGTTTATAACGTTAATAAAGACACAGTTACGGGAGGGCTGGGTAGCAGGGAACCAAGACCTCACCCCGCCGCCGCCCACGTCTTTGATCGTTAAAGAAACAGTCAACTAATCAGGTGTGTGGAAGCAGGGGTGGGGGAGGGGAGGGTGTCAAGGTTCCAAGCCGGGAGCGCAGAGGGTCCCAGATTCAGAATCTGCCGAATCCAGACTAAAGCTTCTAACCAGGCTGGGGCCGACCCCAGATAGACCCAGGAATGGAGAGCTGGAGCCCCCGGCCACTTTTTGCGGATCGACCCTTAACTTCAACGTTGTGAATCCGGAGCGTCGGGATGGTGGGGAAGACTGAAACCCATTGGATCTGGGGACTTGCTGCAGCGACTCCGTCCGCGCGCTGTTCCTGGGGCCCAAGCCTGCTCCGCGCGCTGTTCCTGGGACCCAAGCCTGCTCCGCGCGCGCCCCCTGCTGGACACCGCTTGCCGGGCGCAGAGGCGGATCAATGGCGGAGGGTGCCGGCTGGGCGAGGAAGATGTGGCTGGAACCCTGCACCAAGGCGAGCGCTGCCCGCGGCTCTGCAGTCCTGCGGCGCGATACTCCAGTGGGGCGCGCTTAACCAAAGTCCCGAGGCTTTACTTCCCGTGCCCACCCAGTCTATGTCCCAGGTATCAGCAACCTCTGTTGTCCCCTACACAACACAGACGCGGTCCCTACTTCGCTCTGCGTAGTGTTTCCAGTGCCCAGGGCGCCTCCTAATTCTTGAACGATAGTCGTCCCTGGCACAAAAGCTTCTTACACACCTCTCCCATTCTCCCTTCTCTCTGAGTCTTATGACTCTCTCAGGGGCCTATTAAAATAAATATCTGATATCTGAAAAAAAATCTATTGGCGCTAAGAGGGGCAAAAGGAAACTGCAAAATTGGAAGAAATCGATGTTTGAATGTTTAGGACATGCAATATTGTGTAAACGATTCTGTTGCAACTGCACTCAGAGTTGTATATATGCCCTTGTATTTTAATGTGGCACGCAGAGGATTTAATGGACTTGCCTAAAGATGTGGGAAGGGCCTCTGAGAATAAGAAAGCCGGGGCCCAGATGGGCATCAAACATCCCCACCATAGCAGCCGGTTAAGGCTGCGGAGACCTTCCCCACGGCTGCCCTCCAGCCAGAAGCCCCTGAACACTCACTGTTTTCCATCTTTCAGCTTCTGTGCGCGCGCGCGCTCGCGCACACACACACACACACACACACACACACACACACACACACGTTCTCTCCAGTCCCTCACCTCCAAGAAGCTGCTTTCCTTTTCTAATTTCCAGTCGAAAGATCACTCCTCAGGGAAGCCAGGCCCAGTTTATACTTCCCCCTCCGGCCTTTCCTTGTACAGGCTCTATGTAGTCGTCAGGAGGGCAGGTTCTAGCATCAGACTCCATTACGTACTGACTGTGTGTCCTTAGCCAAGTTATTTAACCTCTCTGTGCCTCAAGAAAAAAAGGCATAAATAAGAGTACTGGCCAGGCGTGGTGGCTCACGCCTGTAATCCCAGCACTTTGGGAGGCCAAGGCGGGCGGATCACGAGGTCAGGAGTTTGAGACCAGCCTGACCAACATGGTGAAACCCCGTCTCTACTAAAATCACAAAAATTAGCCGGGTGTGGTGGTGCGTGCCTGTAATCCCAGCTACTCAGGAGGCTGAGGCAGGAGAATCACTTGAACCTGGGAGGCAAAGATTGCAGTGAGCCGAGATCGTGCCACTGCATTCCAGCCTGGGTGACAGAGTGAGACTCTTATCTTTAAAAACAACAACAACAACAACAACAACAACAAAAGAATACCTACGCTTTTGGGTCACCTTGAGGATTAAATGAATCAATGTATGCAAAGCACTTAGTACCTGGCACTTAGTGCTCAGTACTTGGCCACTTTTTAAATACAATAGCTGAATTAGCCATTATTATTGCCTTGCAGAGTTGGACACAGGTTTGATAAAATGTTCTGCTGCACACACCCCTACAGGCTTGTGTCCTGCCTCCCCCATAGGGGAGGACCTTGGCTCTGCCCCCAGACCTCTCTCTTCACCACCACCACCCCCTTTGCACACACACACACACCATGGGTATATGTAGCAACCAAATTTACTATTATGATTTGTAAAGGTTTCTAGTTTCAGATACTTAGACTGGGCTTGTGGCTGCCACCAGCATGCCTGTTTGCGAAGAGAGATCTGCAACTGCAGACTTGCTGAAAGGTTTTTAATTAAAACTATATTCTGTTTAAGCATTTATTGGACTTTGTGACTTTTAATTATTTTCTAGGGGGAAAAAAAATCCACATTTGCCTATGAGAAGACTGTTGATTTCAGAGGAAAGTAGCAACCCGTGGCAGTTTGCTGGAGGCAACTGAGAGGAATTTTCTGAATGGTTCTAATGAAGCTCGACATTATTAATAATCTGGGATCCAGCCCATGACCCTCCTCCCAGCATTTTCATGAAATTAGCTTAACGTACTGGCAAGGCCTTTTATTGCCATCCAAATTAACAACAGCTCTTCCAGTGGCAGCTCATGTAATTATCTGGGTCTGTGCTTGTCTCACTGAATAAGAGGAACTCCTGCCTGGAAGAGGCAATACTCCTACATTCAAGGGGGAACCTGGCCTAGCAAGATGGCTCATGCCTGTAATCCCAGCACTTTGGGATGCCAAGGTAGGAGGAGTATTTGAGCCCAGGAGTTTAAGACCAGCTTGGGCAACAGAGTGAGACCTCATCTCTACATTTTTTTTAATTAGTTGGGCATGGTGGCGCACACCTGTGGTCCCAGCTACTCTGGAGGGAGACTGAGACCAGAGGATTGCTTGAGCCCAGGAGGTTGAGGCAGCCATGAGCCATGATCACACCACTGCACTCCAGTCTGGGCAACAGAGTGAGACCCTGTCTCAAACAAACAAACAAACAAAAAACCATAAAAACCCCAAAAAACAAGTAAGGGGGGCGGGGTGCAAAATGCTTGGCAGTCCCACCCCAGTTCAGGCAGGACTGTTTTCCACAAGAGATGTTCTGAGGCAGCCAGCTCCTCTGTGGCAGGACTTGCCCTGGTAAAGGTAGGGCTGGGTGAGGCAGGGGAGTGGGGGCTGGAGATGATGTGTAATATTTCCATCGGCAAATAACAAGATACCCACCTCCAAGGATGGAAAGTATTAAGTATATCATCTCACAAAGCAGGAAGAAAGGCTGGCTTCCCAGCTGTTGATTCAGCGACTCAATGACATCAGCAGTCACAAGTTCTTTCATCTCTCCCCTCTGCCACCCTTAATAGGGCTTCCAGCCCAAGGACTGGGTCCCTTGGTGCCTTGGTGTCACTGGAGGGCTTCCGGAGCCACCAAGGAAACATACCTATTGTGTTTTGTTTTTTTTTTTTCTTTTCAGATGGAGTCTTACTCTTGTTACCCAGGCTGAAGTGCGGTGGCACAATTTTGGCTCACCTTCACCTCCTGGGTTCAAGTTATTCTCCTGCCTCAGCCTCCCGAGTCGCTTGGATTACAGGTGCATGCCACCACACCTGGCTAGTTTTTGTATTTTTAGTAGAGACGGGGTTTCGCCATGTTGGCCAGGCTAGTCTCAAACTCTTGATCTCAAGTGATCCTTCCACCTCAGCCTCCCAAAGTGCTGAAAATTACAGGTGTAAGCCACTGTGCCCAGTCACAAACGTAATGTTAACAGACTAGTGGGTTAGAAAGACAGGTTTCTCTTTTTTGAAGCCACAGCCTATCCCTTGGCTCTTGACACCTATTGGCATAGGACTATTTATCTCTGAACCAGTCACTGGTGAAGGGGTTGAAATTGATTGGTTCAGAACAATCATCTAGCCCTGATATGGCTATGGAGCAGTCAATCCCAAGGCTCACTACAAGCAAGAAGTCCCTTTTAAATAGAAGGATTGGGGAATTACATGTTCAGAGTAGCCTAATATTGTATTAAAATGAATTGAAATGAGAATGACCAGGATTATAATGGACCATACTAGATACTTCCTTATCTGGAGTTTAGACCAATCTATATCCACAGTCTGAGATCACAGGGTCAGGGCAGTGTGTGTGACCAGGTTCAGGAAACTCTGGTAGGCATACAAACCAGAGGATTCCTTGCTTTCACAGAATTCTTGGATTGATTATTTTTATATTTACTATTTCTTTCTTTCTTTATTTGGGTTGAGGATCAAACTGTGTTGTCCAGCTGGCCTCAAATCCTGGGCTCAAGTGATCCTCCTGCCTCATCCTCCCAAGTAGCTGTGCCTAGAGGCACACATTTCACCCGGCTCTTTCACGGAATTCTTGAAAGGATAAAAATCTGTTCTTGGAAATGCCTGTGCTGGGATCCAAAGCTATTTTTGGAGCAGTGGAAGCTTCAGTCTTTAGTCGGATATTTATGAACAGGAGATGTTTATGAACTCAAAGATGTCCCTGTATGACTTCACATCCTGAACATGTCTCCCAGTCCCATGGCAGAGAAGAGAGGCACTTTTACTGTCGAGGTGGAAAACGGGAGGAAGAATTCTACCTTGGTCTTAGGAAAAACGTGGGGCAGTGCAAAGCAGGGCAGACCACACTGGGCTTGGAGCTCCACAACCTGAAACCTCACTCCAGCTTCACAAACTCTCTAAGTGGTCTTAAGCGACTCTTGCCCTCTCTCCTTCTAGGTTTCCACCCATGTAATGGTAGGGGAATGGGCT